TAGTCTCAGTACAGTGACTCAGGAATGGAAAACCAAATACCATAGTTTTCACTTAAAAGTGGGCGCTAAGCTATGAGGACAAAAAGACATATGGAGTGATTTAATGCACTTTGGGGACTTGGGGTGGGGAGGTGTGGGGGTGAGGGATCAAAGACTACATATTGGGTACAGTGTGTGTATGCTGCTTGCCTGACGGGTGCACTAAAATCACAGCGCCACTACAGAATTCATCCACGTGATGAGAAAACATCTGTATCCCAAAAGCTATTGAAATTTTACCAACGGTGGACAAATGTTCTGAAAGCTTCCTACTCAACATTTTTCTGTTAATATGTACTGCGTATGCACATTTTTATATTGGGGGCATTCTAAAGGTTTACTTTGCTCTAAAAGAAATATTTAATGAGTTTCAGAATAACTTGAGATTTTTCTGGTTGTAGTTAAGCTTAAAAGGAAGGCTGAGAAATTACTTAACTACTCAAATAGAGCCTGTTCAACTATATGAAATGTCATTATGGAGCCACTCATTATGCTTTTCCTATAGAACAAGTAATTGTGTTTCTCTGCAGGTAGAGAGGGTTTTCGAGGAGCGTGAGGGTGGCTGGACACGCTGGCTAGAACTGCGAAAAGGGCCAGCGGCTCTCTGCGCGGCTCTGGCCGTCCCGCACCTTCCCTTGGCTTGCGCGGGCTGCTCTCGTCTTGGAGTTGCCGCAGTGACCCTGCCTGTCCTTGCTTGTGGGTCTGCTGCATCTTTCTTTGCTGCTGATGGTTTTAGCACAGAGGGGGCAGGTGCTTTTGATTGCTCACCAGAGGCAGATGCATCTACTGCTGTGCTCTCTTGCACACCCCTGTGCAGCATCATTAGGAAAGCTAGACACAAGTGATTCAGAATGGCTTAGGGGGTTTCCTAAGCCAAGCCAGATAACTTCTCGAAGGATCTTTTTGTAGGCGTGAAAGCAGAGTATATTTTCAGAGGTTTAAAGGTGAAAACTGTTTAACTGGGTCAAAAACAGTAACGTGACTTTTCTCTCCAACAGTTTGTTTTGCCCTAAAGCTGGTCAAGTAAGTTGAATCTCACCTGTGATTAGGTCTACATTTTAACATGTAGACCTAATTGTGGGAAGAAGAATAACTTTGGTGGGAGAAACAGGACAAAGTGCCATTGACCGTGAGGGGAGTTCTCTGTGAAAATAGACTGGCTAATACCTCATGTGTTGCCAACGCAGGTGTACCCAGGAAGGATGTGGGAAACACTTTGCCTCACCCAGCAAGCTGAAACGACATGCCAAGGCCCATGAGGGTGTGTATGGACAGCCTGGGTGTGCTCCTCTGAAGGGATGCCAAATCTGGGGTGCCTTTGAGTCTGTTCCATGATCACGCTGACAAGATGGGAACTCTGTGGGTGGGGGACACCATCCTGCTTATTGGGGTCTTACGCTCTTGTCCAAAGAGGCAGCGTCTATGTCTGTTCTTTCACTACATGTCATTGCTGTTCACAAGCACCCAGTTCTGCGTGACACTGACGAATGTGCTGGTGCTCTAGCCACGGCTTTGATGCTTCTGTCATTTTTAACCTCTTCCATTAGTATTTACTGTCTGTGCCACTCATTTCCTTGTTGGCCATTCCCAAGGCTTGGATCATAGTGTGACGTTTTGAGAGCCATCAGATGTTAGGTTTCTCAAAACAAGACTTGATTACATTAACGACTTGCGTCTATTATCTGTTTCCTAGAGGGATTTTTGCTAATCTGTATGTCAATATTCCATGTCCTAGAATTTATAATTTTTTTTTTAAAGAGGTTAGTAGTTAACAGTGAGAGGCAGCCTCATTGTTTTAGCTTCTAATTGGGTGAAACACAGCCTTGCTGTTGTATATTATTAATCCCATTTCAGTGCTCTGCACATATCCATTGTTATTCAGTATTTTCCTCTAGGTCCTTCCAGTTTATCTTCCTCCTTAGCCGTACTCTGCTTTTTTTTTTTTTTTTAAAGCCTTTTTTTTTTTTTTTTTTTTTGTGATCAAGTTAAAATGTAATGTACTCTACTTTTTTGTGCAGTATGACACTGACAAGATGGCAAGACTAGAGGAAGCCAGGGGTGGGCATGGTTAACCACAGAGAGCTGGTGGTGGTGGTGTGTCATGGACAAGAGACTGACCGCAGAGTGTCTGCTGAGGAAAACAGAAGCAAGGATAGAGCAGGCAGGGGAAGGGAAAGGAGATGTGGAGATAGGAGGTTAGAGCAGCTGGGAGTCCATACACAGCCCACCCAGCTTCCTGAGAACGCTTAGAGGGAACGGCATCCTTCCTGTGACGTTTGCCTATTCCATGATCACACTGAGAAGATGGGAATTCTGTGAAGTCTGCTTCACAGGAAGGTAAAATCGTAAAGGGAAGCACCTTGCTGTGCAACTGTTTGGTTTTACTGTAACGTAAATCTTCTTTAGTTTTTATTTCTACCTTGAGAGGCAGAGTTGACTACTATTGGTAGGGGAATGGAAAATTACATAGGCACCTAAGTTTCCTTTCTAGTTCTGGTCAGTGGTTACACTGAGTATTCATGATAAGCAGTGCACCATTTTTTTTAATAGGCTATGTATGTCAAAAAGGATGTTGCTTTGTGGCAAAAACATGGACAGAACTTCTGAAACATGTGAGAGAAACCCATAAAGGTAAGGCAGGCATGAATGGCAGGCATGGGGTAAATGTCTGTCCCCGCAGAACTGATTTCATGCTTTTCAAGAGTGAAATGCTGTGCGCTTTAAAGTAAAAGAGTTTCTATATGATACTTTGTCAAGTGTTGGGTATGACGGTATTGGAAAAGTGAGTAGAGCTGTGCCAGGTCTTTTGAGCCACCCCTACCATGCACAGTTAGGCTGCTGGAGGCAGCAGCAGGTCTACAGGAAATAATCTTGGCAGGCACTACTATTCTGTGGGACAGCCTGGGGAACAGCACCCTGCATACTGGAAGACAAGGAAGGACACTTTGGTCTACTTCATATTTCACCTGCTCACAGTCACCTTGCTGAGACCCCTGCCTCTTCGCAAGTGAACGGTGACTGTGTGGAATTTAAGAACTTCAGAGAATTGAGAAAAACTTTCTAGGTGATAAAAACTGGGGTAGTTTCCTTGGGAATTTCTGATTTGTATATAGTGATCAGGTTTCAGGCACTGAATGTTACTTAGGTATTTTTTCTAAATGATAGTATCTGGGAAATTGGTGAAATTTGTCTGTCTACTCCACCAGAGGAAATACTATGTGAAATATGCCGGAAAACATTTAAACGCAAAGATTACCTTAAGCAGCACATGAAAACTCATGCCCCAGAAAGGGATGTGTGTCGCTGTCCAAGAGAAGGCTGTGGAAGAACGTACACAACTGTGTTTAATCTCCAAAGCCATATCCTCTCCTTCCATGAGGAAAGACGCCCTTTTGTGTGTGAACATGCTGGCTGTGGCAGAGCATTTGCAATGAAAGTAAGCACTCACCCTCACACTCGCGGTTCTGTATGCTTTCACAACACAGTTCCTGGGAGCCTCACATTCCAGCATGGGCTCTCTCTGGACACCTGCCACTCTTGCTTCCTCTGGGGTGGTTTTAGGTCTGCAGAACACCCAGGTTTGCCGAGGCCAGTGGCTCATACAGTGTGGCCCTGGACCAGGAGCGTCAGCTGGGCACTTGCTGTAAGTGCACACTCACAGGGCCCTCTCGAGACCTGCTGAATTAAGAGGCTCCGGGGTGGGGCCCAGGACGCTGCTTTTAACAAACCCTCTGGAGGATTCTTATACATTGTAAATGAGAACCAGTGGCCTTAGTATATGTTTATTTTTGAGTGTGCTGATGTTTCAAGTGTCCTTTTGGACCACCATCACCTAGGAACTGAGAAGGGAAATGGGCTGCAGGGAGATGAGGGACCACAACGTTGGGATCTAGTCAGGTAAGAACCTGGCACTTAATGGAGGGGGCCTGTGCAGCTTTGCAGACTCTTGCACCTCTGGCTGGTTCTTACAGGTTCTTAGCGTGCATTTTCATAATGACTGCAGAGGGTAATGAGGCTTGCTCAGTACAGGTCCAAACCGCTAGACAACAGCTGGGAGCTGCTGCTGGCTGGCATTACCATCAAAGCCACGTTGGCTGGAGCTCCCACTGGTGTTTATGAACATTATTTAGACAGATTCAGTTAAAAGAACCTCCTTCAGCTTGGAAGAGTTAACAGCTTTTCCCCCACTTATAAAAGAACTAAAAACTACTGGTGATTGGGACTGTGCAAATTCCTAACCTCGATTCTTGGAAAAGGTAATGATTTAAGTCCAGAAACTCTGTTGGGGGGAGTTAGGTAGAGGTCAAATGCCTCAACAGCCCAGAACAGAAAGGTTGATAGTTCACTTAAATAACTCATGGGGTTTTCATATTAGTATTTCCTATTTTTAAGATATCAACATTTGATGTTTTAGAACATTGTTTAAAAAATGTAACTTTCTCTTTCATTGTAGCAAAGTCTCACTAGGCATGCTGTTGTACATGATCCTGACAAGAAGAAAATGAACCTCCAAGTAAGTTGAAACCATAGGCAAGCTTCGTTTTCAAATGGAAATTGTTTAAAGTCAGATGGAGTCTGTCTGGACCTCTTTTCAGCTGCTTTTACTGTGTGAGTCTGCACTACTGTTGAAGACTTTACTTCCTCATAAAGGAATGTTGTATACTGTACCTGCTGGTGCATGTAACTGTTGTAAAATTAGTTAACTTTGATTTTGAATTCTAATTGTCTCTCTTCTTTATTCCTAAAGGTAAAAAAATCTCGTGAAAAACGGAGTTTGGCCTCTCGTCTCAGTGGATATATCCCTCCCAAAAGGAAACAAGAGCAAGGCTTATCTTTGTGTCAAAACGGAGAGTCACCCAACCGTGTGGAAGAAAAGGTGCTCTCGACAGTTGCGGTACTTAGCCTCAGTTAAAAACCGCACTGCTTTGTTTAAGAGACTGTATACCAGTGAGCTTAGTTACTTTCTCTCAGAAGCATATTTTTCTTTATTAAAATTGCTGATGCAGAATATTTGATTCCTTATCATTTCCGTGGTCTGTGCTCAAAGTATCTCTTTCCTGGATTTCTTGAGTTTCTTTATGTGCCTTCTCTTCCTTCTTGCTCAAAGGACGAAGAACGCATATTAAGGCTTTTCCTCCTTGAACAGCTTGTGGCCTAGATGAGAATGTAGCTATTCCAGGCATAGTCTGGAGTATTTGATGAAAAATATCCTCCTAAAAAAGGAAAACAGCCAAAGATTAATTTCAAATTAGAGGCTTTAGTGCTTTCTAGTGTTAACTGCTCAAACATTCACAAAACCCAGCACCCTTGAATTGTTGCTGTCAGTTAAGTGATTAGCTAATCAGTTAAGCTGACTGAAATCTGTACAATAACACCATGTAACTAAAGTGACATGCTGAATGTCACTTAGGTGACTCTACTGTGGTGCTGGATTGCTAAGGATATCCTTAGTTGGGTGATAAAGTTATCTAACTTAAAAAAAAAAAAAAAAAGCAAAATAGGTATTCCATAAACTTCTGGGATTAGAAACTACATACTTTCTACAAGAACAGTCTACATAATTAATGCTCCTCATAAAGTAATGAGAGGAAACAAAAGATCAATCTATAAAGCTTCTTTTTTGTGTGTGACAGTCTGGCTCTGTCACCCAGGCTGGAGTGCAGTGGCATGATCTTGGCTCACTGCAGCCTCTGCCTCCTGCATTCAAGCAGTTCTGCCTCAGTCTCCCAAGTAGGTGGGATTACAGGCACGCACCACCACGCCCAGCTATTTTTGTATTTTTGGTAGAAACGGGGGTTTCACTATGTTGGCCAGACTGGTCTCCATCTCCTGACCTCATGATCCGCCTGCCTTGGTCCCAAAGTGCTGGGATTACAGGTGTGCGGCACCACGCCCAGCATATCAAATTTCTAATTTTCCTATTTAAGGGTTAGATATTCTACAATTTATAAAACAATAGTATATTGCTTTTAAAGTATAAATAGAATGTTTCCATATGGCAAAATATGCTGTGATGGAAAATGTTACCTACACTATGCTTAATTTTGAAAAGCAAACTAGAAAGCTGTTGACATCACTGGGTGGAAGAATTACGTCACTTTGTCTTTAAATTTTCCGCATTTTCTACAATTATATTTTTAGATCAGAAGAACAACAGCGCAAGCAGTGGCTTGTACCTTCTTTACTTACCCCTTTATTTTCTGACTCGTCTACATTTTTCCCTTTTTTTATAGTAATCCGAACTTGGTGTTGCTTCTTAATCCACTCCTGAATGTGTTTAGTCTTTGTTTCCAAATCATTTTGTCCAATATTTGAAGAAAAAGTCAGTTCCTTTGTCAGGGTTGGTCCTGGTTTGAAACAAATAGGGTGCAAGGACTACTGACTGGTCCACTGTGACCCCTGAACTTCCCAACATGCCCTTCAAAAAATCCTAGGCTGCCTCCTGACAGACTTCTTGTCTGGCTTGCAGTTTCACAGACCAGTAAATGCCTTTTCAAATGGGGGAGAGAAACATAAAGATACCAATTTTTACCTGCCATGGAAGGGTGTTTAAAATCTGAAATGCTTCCATTTATTGTTAACCATCATTTGTTGAAAGGACACCAAAAGATGGTTGTTTAAAGAAGCAGGTTTGGCTTTATGGTACACTTAATATCCTTATCTTTCAGCTGTGGGTTGGCATCTGGGAGTGCTCTCCCCACTCCTTGCTACTAAGGGGTCAGCCAGGCTGTTGGACACGGAAGGGTCCCTACATCCTGTGTTCATGCCCTCTGTCTCCAGAAATCCTGCCTACCGGAATATTAGAAGGAACGGGCCACTCAGTAAAGGTGTTGGGACAGTTGAGAAGTCTATAGATGACAAAAAGTTAGATCTCCCCAGATGTACTAATGGTCTACATTAGTAGGTGGAAAACACAACTTAAATAGAAGAAAAGACAGAATGGTTTGTGATCTCGGGATAGGGGAAGGAATTAACAAAAAAAGGCAAAAAAAAAAAAAAAAAAAAAACCAGTTAAAATCTGAGTAAGGTTTTTTGCATCGTATACAACAGAGAACCCTATAAATCAGGAAGAAAAATAAACCATCAAAGTAGAAAAAGGAGTATAAGTAGGCAGTTCACCGAAGAAAAAAAGATAGTGAAATACACGTTAATTTCTCAAAATGACAAAAACGAGAGTCTGACACTATGAGGTGAGGAGGTAAGAGAAATTGCATACACTGCTGCTACAGCAGTTTGATCCATTTAGGTTCACAGACCCTAAAGTATGCACCAGTGTTCATCATAAAGACTGGGGGCCAGGTACTTTGGGAGACTGAGGCAGGCAGATTGTCTTGAGCAAGATAGCAAGGCCCATCTCTACAAAACGTGAAAGTTGGGCATGGTGGTGTGTGCCTGCGGTCCCAGCTGCATGGGAGGCTTACTGGTTCCCAGGAGATGGAGGCTGCAGTGAGCCAAGATCACACCACTGCACTCCAGCCTGGGCAACAAAACGAGACCCTTTCTTTCTTGATTTCTTCCTTTCTTTCTCTTTCCTTCCTTCCTTCCTCCCTCCCTCCTTTCTTTATCTTTCCCTCCCTCCCTCCCTCCTTCCCTCCTTCCTTCCTATTTGAGACAGCATCTCGCTCTGTCACCCAGGCTAAAGTGCAGTAGCATGATCATAGATCCTCACTGCAGTCTTGGCCTACCAGGCTCAAAGGATCCTCCCACCTCTGCCTCCCGAGTAGCTGGGACCACAGATTTGCACCACCACACCTGGCTAATTTTTAAATTTTTTGTAGAGATGGGGATGGGGTTTTGCTATATTGCCCAGGCTGGTATTGAACTCCTGAGTTCAAGCCATCCACCTGCCTTGGCCTCCCAAAGTGCTGGGGATTACAGGCGTGAGCCACCATGCCCAGTGACTTTTTTTATTTTTAGTCGAAATGGGGTTTCACCATGTTGGCCAAACTGGTGACACAGTTTGATGTCGTTATCCTCCCTGGTCTCTTCTGAATATAGTTTTCCAGTCAACATCTTTGTTAAATGTGGTGTTACAAAACTGAGCCACAGATAATGCACATAATGTGATTTTCTGAAGGCACACTACCTCATGCAGTGCTGGGAACAGTCATCTGACGCCTGTCCCCGTGCGCCATCCACTGAACTTTCATAATGATCAGCACTTTTTAGGAACTATGAAAAACATCTTTGCTTAATATCCAATTCATGTCTTCTGTGAGGCTTAAATGACAAGTGCCTTGTGAACTGACTGGTCAAATATATAAATGAGTGTTGCTAATGATATTGTAACAAAACGCTTTGGGATGGGAGATGCTCTGTGAATCACTTTAGAGTTTAAAAGGCACTTCCAGGCTGGGCACAGTGACTCATGCCTGTAATCCCAGCACTTTGGGAGGCCGAGGCAGGCAGATCACTTGAAGCCAGGAGTTCGAGACCAGTCTGGCCAATATGGTGAAACCCTGTCTCTATTAAAAATACAAAAATTAGCTGGGCGTGGTGGCAAGCCACTGGGGAGGCTGAGGCAGGAGAATCGCTTGAGCCTGAGAAGAGGAGGTTGCAGTGAGCCGACATCACACCACTGCACTCCAGCCTGGGCGACAGGCAGAGACTCCATCTCAAAAAAATAAAAAGATTTTTCCAGATAATTCACCAAACACCTCCACTTTAGAACTGAAGAAGGGGAAGAAAAACAAAAAGAGAAAGGTTAAATGAGTGGCCCAGCAGAAGGCAGAGGGCAGGGAACTTAAACGCTCCCCTTCTAATCTCATTCCATTTCACCCATCAGCTACTCTGCTTGCTGTGGCACTGGGAGAAGGCCACAGGACAGGGGAAAGAGTTCTCTTCACGTTGGTGTGTTCTCCTGGTATTGCCCTCATTTTACATAGGTTTAAAAGGAAGAGACAATGGGGAGGGTATTATGGAAAAACAGGGAAAAAAGGGAACAGGTGTTAAGTGAAGAATGAAGGAGCAAACACATAGACACTGGGAACGGTGGTGGAATCGTGAATTTTCCAGTTTCTCATTTCCCTATTGTCACAGGCACCTTGACAAATGCGAGGATTTAAAATGCTGATTTGTAGCTCTTAAAGGATTCAGAGAGCCAAGAGCAAAATACCTACCAGTTTTGGGGTGAGCCTTCCCCATCTCCCTCAGCCTCAGCCGTTCCTGGTGGATCTGCACCCCTGTCATGAGCTGGTACTGGGCAGGCTCTGTGCTGGCGTTCCTTTGAACCAGCCGGAGCTTTTCCTTCTCCATGAGTTTAATCACATCTGCTCGGTGCATGTTTCCCAAATCATTGCCCTTCTCATCAAACACGTGAATAATTCGCTGACTGATTTTTCTTCCAGTGCTACTAAAAGCTGTGCCATTTTTTTTTTTGCTTTTTCCTTCATTCTGGGTGTCTTCAGCGGTACTAAAGGCTTTTGCATGAACTAGGAAGGAGAATCTTGGGGCAGAAGCAGCAGGGGTCGACGGTGCTGGTGCTGTCTTCTGCACAATGTGTTCACCAAGACATCTAATGCAACTCTTTTCAGACTTTATGGCTTGTAGTGTTAACCTCCTTAGTGAAAGAGCAGCCATCCTAAGACAGTAGTAAGAAGAGTTCATTAAAATTCAATCACCTATGCCCGTGGTCTGACACTGTGGTACAAGGCAGGGCGTGTGTGAGGCTGTGGAGACTGTAATTGCAAGTGTGAGGGAAATGCTGTTCTCTGGACTTTCAGATCCACACACAAAAGTCTACACTGATAAAGTGGACTAGCAGGTGACTCTGGCCAGACTAACTCATGGTGGTACTGTCCCTGAGACAAGTGGCTATTAGAGTAAACCAGATTTACATAGCATTTTGGTTTCACTTTTTTTTTTTCCTGTACACATCATCTCGTTTGACTATTTAGTTGACGCCTGAACAACTTGGGGCTTAGGGAAACACACCCCCTGTGCAGTTGAAAATCTGTGTAACTTCTGACTCCTCAAAAACTTACTAACAGCCTACTGTTGACTGAAAGCCTTACAAATAACATAAAGTTGACTGACACATATTTTGTATGTATTTGAATACTATATTCTTATAATAGAGGAAGTTAGAGAAAAGAAAATGTCATTAAGAAAATCACAAGAGAAAATATATTTACTATTAAGTGAAAGAGGATCACCATAAAGGTCTTCATCCTTACTGTCTTCACATCAAATAGGCTGAGGAAGACAAGCAGGAGGAGGAGTTGGTCTTGTGCTCTCAGGGTGGCACAGGTGGAGGAAAATTCACATGTACATGGACCCCATGCAGTTCAAACTGGTGTTGTTCTAGGGCCTACTGTAATCTCTCATGCATCTTGTAGTGCCAACTCCAGAAGCGAGTATCATCTTAGGGGTTTATTTATGAGGATGCAGTATGTAAAAAGCTTGGTGATTCATAAACACCAATTGATAAACTTTTAATATAATTAACTGTTAACAATTTTTCAATACTCCTGATGGTATACAGCAGATAGGAACACACTATGGGAAAGGGGCCCCTCCAGGAAGGAAGCCAGCCCACTGGAAGAATAACTGAGACCGTCAGAAAACACTGTGACATAAATCAAAGTGCTGACCTCATAAACTATAAAGATCATTCTCAAGGCAGGTATTACTACCAAACGTTAACAGAGGCATGTATGGTGACCGTGGTTTTACTTTATGGTTCTAAGATTGAATTTGAAGCACTTAAAAATGGCACATTGATGTTTGAACTGCATCTCTGTCCTTTCATTCATGCACCTGGTAAACCTCAGAAGTACAGGCTTAAAGAGTGCTGAGAGGACCCATTCATCTCATCTAGGGCATGCTAAGAATCATTAGAGAATCACCAACTCAGAGAGGTATGACTTCTCAAAGATGAAATAGGAAAACAGAAGGTGTCTTCAGGGTGCTTCTCTAAGAACGGTCCCAGAACCTCCTGGGGTGTTTACAACTGGAAATTCTCTCTGCTCCCTGGCTTTGATCCCACCAGGCTGTACGACCCACTGATCCCTCACCCCTCATGTTCAAGAGTGATATAAAAAAATATGGTAAATTAAACAGAAAGTGATGGACGTGCAAAACACCCTCCTTACCTAGCCTGGTAACACCCAGCACTCCAATTTATAGCTCTAGTGCCAGTCTCTTCTGAGTTCTACACCTGTCGGGTAAGCTGCCTACCCAACATCTCCACTTAGATATCTAACAGTCATTGAGAGTTAACATGTCCAAAGTTCAATGCTTTATTTTCCATGTGAAACTTGCTCCTCCCTCAGTCTTCCCTGTCTCATATAATGGCAATACATTCTTCTGGTTGTTCAGGCCAAAAATACCAAAGTTATCCTTGACTCTTCATTTGCTCTCAGCAATCCATCTGCAAAACCTGCCGTTCAACCAGTATAACTGCGTCTCACCTTCTCCACTGCTATCATCCCACCCCAAACCGCCGTGCATGCCACTCAACTTCGTCACAGTAAACAGCTTTCTGACTGGTCTTCCTGCCTCTGCTCTCACGCCCTAGGGTTTATTACTGCCAGGGCACACAGAGAAATCCTTAAAAAATGCATAAATTGGATCATGTTCCTTCTCTGCCCACAACCCCAAAACCCTCCCCTGGGTCCTATCTCACGCCAAGTAAAAGCCAAGCCCTCGTAACGACCCACCGTGCCCTCTGTGACCTGGCCTGTGCCAACTGTGCTTCCTCTGGCTCACTCTGTTCTGGCTTCCTTGCTGTTCCTTGTAAACACTGAACACACCCCTCTTCTGAGTCCTTGCAGCCAGAAGTTCTCTCTCCCTGCAACACTCTTCCCTCAGACAGCCTTTGGTTCATTTACCTCTTCTCTGCTCAAATGGTACCTACTCAGCAAGCCCTTCCCTGACCCCTCTACAAAACAGCACACCCCAACCTCAAACCCATGACCTTGCCTGGCTCAGCATGTACCTGTCAAATGAATCCACAGGCCAAAGGAAACAGCCAAGGAGCTATGGCGGGGCTGCTGGCATTGAACCTCTACGCCTTTGGATGTGTCACGCCCCACCAATGCACACGAATGCCTACAAGCCACACCCCTCACATTTCTAGCTGGCATTTCAGATGCTCCCAGTCTTTGTGAGGATCTGTGGCCAGCTGCTCCATCCACAGTGTATGACATGCATTGATTTATGGTTATTACCCAGTTGGTGGCTCCAGCTGTAGATGCTATAAAGGCTCTAAGGTGGGAGCAAACTGCTTTTAAGTCACCGAGACACTGTTTAATAAAACGTCAGATCTTTTGTGAATGGTGGAAGCCTCCAAACCAAAAAAGAAGAAAAATCTGAAGAGATCAGAGAAGTTTTTGTTTTTTTTTTTCACTTATCATCAGAAAACTAGCAGCAGCATCCTGTCCCAAATTTCATTAGGTATTCTGCTAGTGGACTGTAAGTTCCTGCTTACAAGCCTGCTCTATAAACTTGATGTCTAGAATCAGTGTCGCTTCTTTCCAAAGTCTGTATTAGCAACAAGGATATAGAAGTTATCACATGTAAAATCATATTACTAAATAGATATATATATAAATTATTTAAATTTTCTTGATGTATACAGTAGACAAAACAGTTCACTGCAATTAAGCTTTAATACTAACTCAGTATTGGCTATCTTTTTCCCTTAGTAGTTATGAATAAAAGCTAAAGTGCCTTGTTTAATAAATTATCAACATATTAAAATAAAAATATTTCAAAATGTAGGATTTTTTCAAACAAGCAAACAAAATAACTAGATATAGGAAAAGATGGGGAAAAATTCTAAAAATGCTGAAGTTGAGGGCCGGGCACGGTGGCTCAAGCCTGTAATCCCAGCACTTTGGGAGGCCGAGGTGGGTGGATCACAAGGTCGAGAGATCGAGACCATCCTGGTCAACATGGTGAAACCCCGTCTCTACTAAAGATACAAAAAATTAGCTGGGCATGGTGGCACGTGCCTGTAATTCCAGCTACTCAGGAGGCTGAGGCAGGAGAATTGCTTGAACCCAGGAGGCGGAGGTTGCGGTGAGCCGAGATCACGCCATTGCACTCCAGCCTGGGTAACAAGAGTGAAACTCCGTCTCAAAAAAAAAAAAAAAAAAAAAATGCTGAAGTTGAAGGCAAAAGCAATTCTTTCCCCTATTTTTCCTAATTGCCAGTATTTCTCAATTTTTTTATAATGAGGAAGTATTATTTTTATACTTGAAAACACATTTGATTTATTTAAAAAATAAAGACTGTTTCAGAAAAATGATGTACGTTTTTAAAAACGCTTTAAAAACACTTTCCAAGAAGGAAATGAAGGAAAAGGAAAGAGGAGAAAAACACTGGAACTATAGAATTTTTTTTTTTTTTTGAGACGGAGTTTCGCTCTTGTTACCCAGGCTGGAGTGCAATGGCGCGATCTCGGCTCACCACAACCTCCGCCTCCTGGGTTCAGGCAATTCTCCTGCCTCAGCCTCCTGAGTAGCTGGGATTACAGGCACGTGCCACCATGCCCAGCTAATTTTTTGCACTTTTTTAGTAGAGACGGGGTTTCACCATGTTGACCAGGATGGTCTCGATCTCTCGACCTCGTGATCCACCCGCCTCGGCCTCCCAAAGTGCTGGGATTACAGGCTTGAGCCACCGCGCCCGGCGAAACTATATAATTTTTAACGTCTTTTGCCATTATTCAAATTCAAGCTTAAATTTTTAAAAAGCTTCAAATGTTTTTGATGTATATAGTAGGCAATGCAATTCACTGCAATTAACCTTTAATAATACTGGCTTTAAATCAGCAAAACTGAAAATATATGTTTCTTCAAAATAGGCCCTTATAGATAAAAATATAAATACAAAATTAAAACAACCTGTAATATTAAATTTAAATTGCAGCTATCAACAACATGAATTTGTAATTTTAAAATTTTTTGTTAGGAAACTTTTCAACCTTGTACAGAAAGAACTGAATAAACAGCATATGGTTTCATCTTTACCCCCTCAACTATCTCCCTCCCCAACAGCCAGGAACTATTTCAAAGTCAATCCTACTTTTTTGGTAAATAGCACGTTATCTCTAAGAGGTACTCTTTAATATTTTTGATAATCACAATAACATTATCCCAATTAAAAACAGTTCCTTTATTTTGTCAACTATTTAGCTTTCAGATTTTCATGATGGCATTATGATTTGTTTGTTTACATGTCATTTACAGTTTGGCAGCATGAAGAGATTCCCACTGGTCAATTCTGGTGTAATTTAAACATTAAGGCATAATTACTGTCATTCATTGCAACACACTGAATATGCAAAAATCTGTGAAAATGATAATTTGCCACAACTGCATGGGACTATTATCTTGATTCTTTGCTTTGAAAATTGGTAATTAAATTTAAAAAACTGAGCATTTATCCTACCTTTTTAGGAAGAACTATAATCATCCCTTGTTGATGAGGAAAAGCTCTTCTTTAGAGGAGAATGACAGCTAATAAATACAAAAAAAAAAAAAAAGAAAGTAAAATTAATTAGAAAATCATGTCTCACACCTGTAATCCCAGCACTTTGGGAAGCCAAGGTGAGAGGATCACTTACGGCCAGGAGTTTGAGACCAGCCTGGGCCACACAGCAAGACCCAGTCTCTACAAAAAATATATTAGCTTGGTGTGTTGACACGCAGCTGTACTCTCAGCTACTTGGGAGGCTGAGGAAAGAGGTTCACTTGAGCCCAGGAAGTTGAGGCTGCAGTCAGCTGTGATCACACCACTGCACTCCAGTCTGGACAACAGAGCAAGACCCTATTTTTGTTTTGTTTTGTTTTTAAAGAAAGAAAATCACCATTTTTCCAGCGTCAATGAAACCACCGATTCTGGCAGGGATGGATGCAAGAGAGCTGATGCCAAAGGGTCACCCACAGATTACTTTCAGACCCAAACGGAAAAGCGTATCTGCCAAGGAGACAGCTGTCTGTCATCCTAACCAAGTATCAGATTCGGCAACTCCAACAGTGGGACAACCTGCCATCCTTGCCATATCTCTGCATGGGAAGCCGCCTGAAGTGCACAGCGCCTTCTATGAAGCAGCCTTGTCAAAAAGATGCGACCTGAACCTGATGCAGGGTCAGGACCTGGCTTCCAGTTTCCAGGGCATACAAGGGCCAGACTCAGAGGAACAAAGTGGAAGAAGTTAAAAGGAAACAAGCTTGTCGAATCCAGATGGGACAAGACAACTGGTTAGTGTCTAAAAAAGCCAAAGCTTTTGGGAATGAAAAGGGAAGGGGGAAGCTATTCTTGAGTAAAAAAATCAACGAGACATAATTATGCTGAAAAGACATGTTGGGGATGAGGGGAAAATCTGAATAGGGAATAGCTATTAGCTACTATTAGGGAAGTATTGTTAATTTTCCTTTTTTTTTTTTTTTTTTTTTTTTTTTGAGACAGGGTTTCACTCCGTCACCCAGACTGGAGTGCGTGGGGTGACCTCGGCTCACTGCAACCTCCGCCTCCCAGGCTCAAGCGATTCTCCTTCCTCAGAACCCCAAGTAGCCGGGATTACAGGTATGCACCACTACTGCCTGGCTAATTTTTGTATTTTTAGTAGAGATGGGGTTTCACCATGTTAGTCAGGCTGGTCTTGAACTCCTGACCTCAAACGATCCACCCTCCTCGGCCTCCCAAAGTGTTGTGGTTACAGGCATGAGCCACCGCGCCCGGTTTATTAATTTCCTTAGGAGTGAAAATGAAATTCTTAAGAAACAAACACTGAAGTATTTAGGATAGTGTCATGACATGTGTCACTTACTTTGAAACCATTTAGCCGGAAATATAAACAATGCACATTTGGCAGCATTTGCTGAATGTAGGTTATAGTTATATGTGTGTTCAATACATTTTTAAAGAACAAATTAATAGTCTAGAGGGAGGAAGGGTTCACTAGTAATGCCAATGTAACTATTCTAGTCTAAGTAAGTTCTAAATTTCACTGTAATTTAATACATTGGCATTCTGGCTTTGTACATAATTTTTAAAAAATTCCCTTTATCAGTTTCAAGCCTATATCTAAGTGACCCATAAATAAGGAACTTTAGAAACTGTAAATTCTAATTTTTTTGTAACGCATATTGCCTTTATTTCTTCATTTAGTTTTCCTCAAACTAAAGTCTAAAAGTCTCATCATAAACAGTGATGGGGAGGATGGGAGGGGGCTGGCATAAAAAAAGTATACATTAGGTACAATGTACATAATTTGGGTGATGGCACACTGAAATCTCAGAATTCACCACTACAGAATTTGTCCATATAATGAAAAACCACTTGTACCCCAAAAGCTACTGAAATTAAAAAATTATGAAAAATACAATGGTGATGGTTTCAGTTTGAGGAAGAACTTGTACAATTTTTTGCTAGTGAATGGTTGAAAGTTAACCTGCGTATGCTGGGGCAGTGTTTCTCAGAAACCGGGGCCTATTGGCATCACCTGGAGATGCTTTTCAAAACACAGATGTTTCCTCTTCCTTATCCTGTTCAGAACCACTGGATTAGGAAAAAAAATAAAAAAGATGAACTTTAAGAAAAAGAGTAAGAGCCAGGTGCAGTGGCTCACGCCTGTAATCCAGCACTTTGGGAGGCTGAGGCGGGCAGATCACCTGAGGCTGGGAGTTTGAAACCAGCCTGACCAACATGGAGAAACCCCATCTCTACTAAAATTACAAAATTAGCTGGGCATGGTGGTACACATCTGTAATCTCAGCCACTTGGGAGGCTCAAACAGGAGAATCACTTGAACCCAGGAGGTAGACGTTGCAGTGAGCTGAGATTGTGCCATTGTACTCCAGCCTGGGCCATAAGAACAAAACTCTATCTCAAAAGAAAAAAAAAAAAAAAAGAAAAAGAGTAAGAAAACATTGTAATATAAGTGGGGTCAAGGATGCTAGGATGCCTGAGATTGCCATTAACCTTTCAAAGTTGAAAAAAAATAGAAAGCCATGTTCTCTGATAAAAGTCTTTGATGCCTGTGAGGTAAACAACACGAGGCTGAAAGGCCAGGAGACTAACTCAAAATAGAAACGCTTAGGTTCTTATGACAATCCTGGTGCATTTGCTGCACTCTCACTCCTACAACTATACTCTCCGAGACACCCACATTATTCTAAAAGCCAATGATCTTAATGTCAATAACTTAAAATACATAACTTTATAGTATGAGACATCCATTTTTAATTCAATGATTACTCAGACTTTATCTGAGTTTGACAAGTGCATATACCTTTGTAACCAAAACTCTTATTGACATGTAAAATATCACCATCATCCCATAAAGTCCCCTCTTGCCACTTTCAACTTGATCTCCATCCCCAGGGGGCAACTATTTTTCTGACTTTTTCCCCATCATAGCCTGTCCTAAGACTTCCTACAAATGGAATCAAACACTAGCTACTCTTTGTTGTAAGGCATCTCAGCATAATGTTACAAGATTCATTCACATAGGTATATTACTTTGTTCCTTTCTGTTTCTAAGAAGTGTCCTCCAAGTATATGAATATACTGCAGTTTTTAAATCTAGTTTTCTGTTAATGAACACCTAGGCTGTTCCCATTTTTTTGGTTCTTATGAATAGCTGCTGTGAACATTCTTGTATCAAAAAAAAAAAAAAAAAAAGACAATGATTACTGCTCCAAAGGACAGCTGTAGTCCCTGTTATTTTGCATTCTACCAGAAGTACTGATAAAGTATTTGCAAGGAAACTTCCTGGAACATGATTTAAATGTATGGTTTAGCAGATACACTTATTAGGGGTGAGTGGGTCGGCAGTCTTGTCCTGTAAGAAATTAAATAGCTTGCATGCATTTGAAATCATGTGGACTGAAGAGACGAAAACAACTTCTATTATTTGTTCACTCACTGCTTTTCTCATATAGCTGATATTCACAAGCTCGTAACTGTTATCTGTTCTTTCCTGGGAGGTTGGATCAAAGTTGCATAGATTCTAGTGGATTAAATATTTGTGAAATTAATTTTGCCAATTCCTATGACCCTGAGAACTCTTTTAAACATCCCAAAGGAGTTTCATAAAGTCCTTGCTTCTGCAAGGACTTCATAAAGTCTTGCCTGCAAACTGTCCTGCTTGCCCCATTCTAGCCTGATCAGCAGAGTCTTAATTCCAGACGACCTGCACTATCATTACGAGGCCTTCATGCTGCCCTCCCTTGGCTCCGGTTTTGCTCTTCCATAGGGAGCACAAAGTACTTCCCATAATGAAGCTGAGCTGTTTAAGTGCTAGAACTCCCATTTAGAACACTGGAAAAAGCTAACATGTATCTTTGGCCAACTATTTAACCATGTTTCTTTAGCTATTAAACTGAAATAATAACCATCTTGAATATGTTTTTAAAAAGCCTTTAAAACCAGAGCTAAAGACTCAGTATTAAAAGTTGGACTTATGGCCAGGTGAGGTGGCTCACGCCTGTAATCCCAACACTTTGTGGGGTGCTGAGGAGGGCAGATCACTTGAGGTCAAGAGTTCAAGACCAGCCTGGCCAACATGGTGAAATCCCATCTCTACTAAAAATTAAAAAAAAAAAATTAGCCAGGTGTGGTGGAGCGAGCCTGTAATCCCAGCTACTCAGGAGGCTGAGGAAGGAGAATCACCTGAAGCCGTGAGATAGAGGTTGCAGTGAGCTGAGATCATGCCACTGCATTCCAGCCTAGGCAACAGGGCGGGACTCTCAAAAAAAATAAATAAACAAACTGACTTATTCTCCTATGTTAATCCTATGTTAGTCCTCTTCCAGAACTCCCTATCTTAGTGATGGGATCACTACCCATCCAGAACCTCCTGTCACCTCCAAGAAGACGCATTTGACACCTCCACTCTCCTTCACTTTCATAGTCAACCCAACACCAAGACTCATCAACTTCATTTCCTAAACCCCATTCAAATCCATCCAGTTCTCTCCACAAGCACCATCACCACCCTCAGTTTAAAACACCCACCACCTTGTTTGCATTCCTGTCAGTCTCTTAACTCAGCTTGAGCCCTGGCAACCAGTTCCCACTGCACTGCGTTCACTACACCCAGGACCCTCCTCACCTTAAATAAAACTGCCCTCGAGATTAAAGAGCTACACCTTCACCAGGCCAAAAGGCCCTTGCCACCTCTCCAGCTTCTCCTTTATGCCTAAGGTCACACTGGTCACTGGGTTCTGGAAACACAATACTCTTGTCCTTGGTTTAGGAAACACCAGATGAATGCCTAGCTCATTCTTCTGATTACCTCCCAAATTAAGCCAGGTCTCCCATCCCAAACCCAGTATACTGAGCTTAACACTGAATGCTTCTATAGTCCAGTTTATCTTTCCTTTAAAACATTCATTACAATTACAGTTTTGCGATAATCTTAGTACTACTGCTCTCCATCACTAGACGGTAAATTCTACGAACCAAGGAATAAAACTGACTTCTTATTGTCTTGTACCTGGCACAGTAACTAGCAGTCATTTGCCAGACTCTTCCCTTCCCCCTCCACTTTTCTTTGACTTAGGTCTTTCATAACATACTTGGAGCTGAGACTTCTCAGTAAGACAACTTACTTTACTTCGTTCAGAGTCTTAAGCCACAGAGCCTACTAAATGATACATGAGAAAAAAAAAAAAAAAATCCCAGTCCCTTCGCGACCTTCCCCACTAAGGTCTCCTCCCGCAGCAGCAGGCGGAAAGAATAATGCGTTAGTCCTGCCTTTCCTGCGCAGGCGCCTTTCTCCCGGCTTGCTCTACCCTAGCGGTGCCAGGCAGTGAAAGGAAAGAGTGCTTCCGGGAGCAGCTGACCGGGTCCTGGGTCACAGCAGCAGCCACGCCCACAAGAAGGCGACCACCGGCGCGTCCCGGCCTGAGGCGGGACGTGGGGACGTACTGCGTGCGTGCGTGCGTGCGCACGAAGGTAGGCCGGCAAGGTGGGTTGGAAAGAGGAGAGTTTAGCAGGGCCGGCGCCGACTCTAGTCCAACAACCTGGGAAGTTTGTGCAGCGACTTCTCTGAAAATGGCTTTATAACCTGGCAGAACCCGTCGACTCCGCAGCAGGACCTGAGGGGCCTCTCCGCCATTGGTGGGTCGGTGTGGCCCTGACCTTCCCGATGTCCTTACAGGCGCACCCTCCAACGCCACGTCCTCCCAGTGCCCGTCCGCGCAGCACTCTGCGCGCCTCACATTTAGCATTACCTGTGCCGGGGCAAGTGATTGGTACGCTCTGGCGGGAGCAAGTAAAGCGGCCCCTCCGCGATAACCCGTCGCTCTCCGTAGCGGGCGGGGCTTCTTCCCGCGTCCTTTAAAGGAGAGGTGACGTGCGGAGTGTTTTCTGCTGTTGGGATTCAGTTCCGCCGACCGAAAATGCGAAGGGCGCTGGGGAGGTCCCAGACGGGAAATTGCTGCTCACCTGGCTCCCGCCGCTCCGCAGGTGCGGTGAAGGCCGGTGTCCAGTTTCTGCGGCAATCAGAGCAGCCGTCCTCCAGTTACATTAACACCAATCTCGGTCTGCCACTGGGGCTTTATAAAGAGCTTTCACAAACGTCTTTTTAATGTAACACCGAATAAAATGTTCTATAAGCGTTTTTTTATAAGGATCGTGAGTGAAAGGGCGCTGTCCCCGATTTGCAGGTGAGCTTCGGAGTGCGAACGGCTCCCAGAGGCAAAATGTCGCGGGGGCCGGGGCGTCGGGGCCTCAGCGTTGTAGATGGGAGGGGTTCGAACGGGGCCCCCAGCTGGCGAAGGGGAAAACGGACCCAGACCCGTGGAGCCCGCTCGAAAGCCAGGTGCTGGGGGTGTGGACCCTCTGTCCCCCCTCATCTTCTGCTTCAATAAGAGATTCCTCGAGGGCGGACTGCGAGTCCACAGTCGTGGCTTTTAGTGAAGCCACCTAATCTAGCTTCATACCAGGAGTGTTTGCATTCCTGGTATGAAGAGAAGCTAGCATTGCCCACATTTATTATTGCTTTTACCTATGTGCCAAACGCTGTTCTAAGTACTGAACATATCTCAAGTTATTTAATCTTCAGGACAACTTTATGAGCCAATTAATATTATTACCGATTTTACAGATGAGGGAACTGAAAGAAATTTGCCCAAGATCACACTAGTAGCAGAATAAAAAATAAATAATAATAAAAAAAGACAACCCCAAACTCAGTCAAACCTTAAATGTTCCTTGCATTGCTGGACTGAAGTAGTGAGAGAAGCAGTAAAGTTAAAAGTACATGAGAACATTAAACGGTATGAAATATGTACAAGTAATTGAAACATTTAATGCCCAAACTAAATACTTCAAGTTTGGTAAGGTAATCGCACAAATAATTTCACACCAAGTAATCGCTGGTAACAAGCTACCGGCCAGCCTCCATTTGCAAACCCTGTTTGAAGGCTGCCGTGTCCAGAGCAGGTGGTTTAGGAAGCTTTCTAGACTTCCATTGTCAGGTGTCTCCACACCTACAAGATGGTGCTTTAGTCTGGGAGTTGAGACATGCAGAGATGGGATTGCTATTACAGACCTGCCCGCAGATGGAGAGAAGCCTTTTTTGTTGTTGTTAATCTTTTCCTTTGAACTATACTTTGACCTCCAGCTGAAATGAAGCTTGGCAGCTTTTTTTTTTTTTTTTTTTTTTGACAGTTTTGCTCTGCTCTGTCATCCGGGCTGGAGTGTAATGGTGTAATCTCGGCTCACTGCAACCTCCGCCTCCACAGTTTAAGCGATTCTCCTGCCTCAGCCTCCTGAGTAGCTGGGATTACGGGCGCATGCCTGTGGGACCAGCTAATTTTTGAATTTTTCGTAGAGACGGGGTTTAACCATGTTGGCCAGGCTGATCTCAAACTCCCGACCTCAGGTGATCTACCCGACTCGGCCTCCCAAAGTGTTGGGATTACAGGTATGAGCCACCACCCCCAGCCATTTGGCAGCTTTTAAAGAGTCATTGAAAGCCTTGAGCTCCATTTGGTGGGGGCAGACTTGGAAGATCCTTGAATAAAGATGAAGACTTTGGTTTGGGGAAGTGATATTACTATACCAAAGATCTTTTGTAAACTGATCCATTATGTACAGAGAAGAGGACTCAGATATGTGGAGAGCTTTCCTAATTGTTATCATTTCTACACATAATTTACCCCCTTCAAAAATGTAACTCAGTAAGACTCAAATCATGATGACTCTAAAAATGCCTGTGTTTTCTACCACATAGTAATTTCTGCGTTAATTTCCATAGCATGCCCATGAACTTTCTCTTTCAATGAATATATTGGTGATTTGCTCTGGTGAAGGGATAATGGAAATATCCTGTCCCTCTTCTTGCCTGTTAGCTTTTCAAGTTCCCCTACCTTTTTCCAATGCTGAGGGGACCTTCCAAAACAAGATTGCATGTGAGATTTACTTGCTTAACCCAAGATCATTGAGGTACAACATATCTGATCCACAAAAGAATCAGTCTGTGGGTGATTTATTTTAAAAGTTATGAACATCTTCAAACTTTAAAGCCCATGTGGTTCAGATATTAAGAATATTTTCCAACAAATAATTGTTCATAGATTATATACTCCTCCCTCCCCAGATTATAAATTCTTTCCTGAGCAGTTGTGCTAAAATTGGTGGAATTGAAGTCTATAATGTGTGAGATCCTATGTAGTACCAACTAAATATAGCTGAGAGCAGTTATCTTCAATGGCAGCAACTCCGTCATTACAATGTCAGTTTAATAGCCAAGTGGGTCCATGCTCTCCTTAGTTGATGTTTACAGACTTGTTAAAAAAGTCATAGTAACAAGGCATGCAAGAGGCTTTGGCTGAGTGTTAGGTAACTCATTCAAAACTTCCTGAAGATACTCTCAGCCTAATATCATGTGTCTATTATTGTATGTAAAAACTATTAAAGCTGGAAGCCTTCTTGTGGAAACTTCATTATTTTCCTCAGGCAGGATTGTAATTAATCCATTCCAAACATGTATACATCTCTATACTTAAAACAAGACAAAAAAAAAAAAAAAAAAAAAAAAAAAACTCGAGGCAAGGAGATTTAGCTTCTCATTTCAATGTTTTATAAGACGGGAATCTTTTCCTTTCTGTAACCTAAATCTGTCATGCTTCTACTTAGTCTGGTTCTGCAGTAGAGCCGGAGAACATCTGGTGACCGCATCTGTGTTATAACCCTTCGTGTGCTCTCACACTATTTACTAGATTCAGAATGAATTTCCTTACCATGAGTAAGATTTCCCATAACATTAGACTCCAGATTAATCATTTCTTTTGTCAGAATATGATGGTATCCGTTATTAAAACGTGCTGGTGGTTGTGAATCAGCAAAATAAATTGGTCCAAAATGAATGACATATTGTAATAAATTTTTTAAAGCTTTCATAACTGCTAAATAAAAATATTTGTATATGGAAGATCCATTTATCTTCTGTGAAAAGTCTCTTGTGCAACTGCAGAAGCAGAAAATAGGTTCAAAAGTTTCATCTGGAACACAACAGAGACATGTCTTTCCATTTCAGAGGTATTGAGTTTTTAACTTTGATCATTTTGAAACAATGAAAATAATTTCTATTGCCATCATAGGACATCATGCGGAACAACAAAGAGCTAGTGCAAAATGTACTATGCTGATTACTGTGTAGATAAAGCAAACCAGGACCAAATGATGAATTAGCATTTGACATTTAGAATGTAACCCAGTCGGGCGCAGTGTCTCATGCCTGCAATCCCAGCACTTTGGGAGGCTGAGGCAGGCAGATCATGAGGTCAGGAGTTTGAGACCAGCATGGCCAACATGGTGAAACCCCATCTCTACTAAAAAAAAAAAAAAAAAAAAAAAAAAAATTAGCCTGACATGGAGGTGTGCACTTTTAGTCCCAGCTACTCGGAAGGCTGAGGCAGGAAAATCCCTTGAACCAGGGAGGTGGAGGTTGCAGGGAACCAGGAATGCACCACTGAACTCAGGCCTGGGTGACAGAGGAATACTCCATCTCAAAATAAAAAAAATTGAATGCAACTCTATACTATTTTTAAACACCTACAAGAGACATAGTTACAAGACTATTTAAGGAGGAGAGGACTGACAGCAAATAGAATGCTTGTGATAAAACAAATTTGTGCTCCCACAATTTCCCATCTTTGAGACAAATGGAATTAAAGGCAAATTATTACATTTTGGGAAGTTCCTCAGATGTGGAGTTTCAGATGTTTACTGTATAGGGAAGCAGACTTTCCACTGTACATTGGAGTCATTGTTTTGCTGCTTTTTCGCCTTGCAAGTTGCTAGGTTCCGCTGAGAAGATTTTTAAAGCCTGCTTTGTTGGCAGCCTAGGACACATCCCTGACCTTACCAAAGTGGAAGTGAAAGCTCTTATTTTTTCTTCCTTTTTTTTTTTGCAACAGTAAATCTACTAATTTTACACTCAGTTGAACAGCAATAGATTAATTTGTGTAAAGTCTGCATTCACAAAGAAAATCTGAACTTCAGTGGCTTGAATGCCTGAAGCTGCAGTGTGATATTTGAAGGATAGTCACTCTTACAACTTGCCGTAGAAGGATGCAGGCAGTTCACTGTCACCTGCTTCTCGGCACAGGTGCTGACCCCTCGGTCGACTCGGGGCCTCCTGATGGGGTAGCAGGAAGGCTGGGCCTTTGTGTGCTACAGAGAACGCTTTTCCAATGACTGGGCCAGTTCTCTCCAGCAGCCACAGGAAACAGAAGAAAGAAGAGGTTAAGGGCCGCCACGAGGGTCAGAATGGGTTAAATTTAGTTAACATCAGAGGTTATAGCTTTTAACAAGAGCTTCAAGAAAACTTATTCGAAGATGCAATTTGTTTCTTCTTTGTCCACTGTTATTTTTTTCCCCCTATTGATACTGACAGCTTAACAAAGTATTTATATGCTAGAGGTTTTCATCCCTTAGAGAATAAAGAACTGTGTTCCTAAAAAGAGATGCAGGTGGAAAACTTTATAAAGCTTCCATGATTTTC